GGTTAGGATAGATATATAGTTACATTCTCTTAATGAATAGAGGGATTTGTTCTAATGGTGTTTGTAAATAGGATATCATGTCCGCATCTTGTGTATCCAATTAACCACTAGGAAGAATGTATGCAGTGTGTTAATTATTGAAACTGTCCTACCAAATTGATTTGAAACTGTCTCATTGCTATTTGTTCATCAATAAAATTATGGAAAATAAAAGACAACTAAACACTGATAGATCTGTCTCTTTGATGCATGCTTTTCAGTTAAATTCTGTAAGCTCAAAAACTATGTTCTTTTGACTGTCCATCAAATAATTCTTGTAGATAATATCTAATTAAAATATGAACATATTTGAAAAACAGGGATCTTAAGATATTATATAAAAATCAATTAAAAAACTAAAACTAAAATTACATTGGGTAAGGTGGGACTAGTGATGCCTGTAATTCCAGCACTCAAAAAGCTGAGATAAGAAGATCACTGCCAGTTCAAGGGCAGCCAGGACTACCTAGGAAGTTCCTGGCCACCCTGAAATACTCTACAGAGACTGAGACCCAGTCTGAAAAATTGGGGGAAAAAAGATATTATTATTTCAATTAATGTGTTTTATTTATACAAGTATATTAATATTTATAACTATTTTTTCTCTCTACAGAACTACAGAGATTTTATTTCAGGTACTGAGAAAAATATTTTGGGTAATAGTTAAACCTCTCCCATCAAACTGGCTACCTGTGACTCACTGTTAAATAGAGCATGCATCTGTAGAAACATTACACTACTCTGTATTAAACTTGGTTAAAAGTTTATATTAGAACAATTTTCTCATCTAAATAGCATAAATTTAAGGTATTAATCCTAACACATATTCAGGTGAACTTTTATTGGTAAAATTTTATGCTGCAAAAGGTACTCTTTCAAGAATAACAATCTGTACTAACTGATGTGAACAATTTACATCCAGGCATTTAGAAAAAAAATTTGTTAAAAGACTTCTCTTTTTTTTAACTAAAGGAGGAATTTCTCAGAACATATCTATTGCCCCTTCCAAATCAATTGGAAACGAGAGGATAGAGTTGAGATACAGATTTCAAATAAACTCCCCAGATAATTTTGATGTATTAATTCCTAAACCATTTTTCATTTTAGAAAGACATTAGAAGAACTTTATAGTGGTCTACCTATTTTTAGGAGCCAGGGATATACCTCTGTAGCATAAGCACCTTCCTGGCAAGTGCAAAGTCCTGAGTTTAATCCCTGGTACCTCCAAAAAAAAAAAAAAAAAAAGAAAGAAACAAATTGTCTACCTATTTTAGTGTCAGCATTAAAAAATAAAAACCTTAGAACATATACCACACACAATTTACATTCAATTGATTATAAAATTGGAAGGAAAAATGGGTTAATAATGTAAAATGGCAGAAAAGAATGTAATTTCCTAAAATTGGCCTTGTAATTGGCTTATTATGAAAAATAATTTCCAAAGATATAAAATCATGCCAGGAAAATCTGATTTAGGGACAGTGATCCATTCTCCCATTAGTCCTTCCTTTAACTCAATCAGTAATAAAAATACCCTTGCAAAGTCAAACTACTGCAAGACACTAAGTAAAAGTAGCCCTTAATTTTAATTTTAAAGCATAGAGGTTGTTATAGTTTATATCTGGATGATCCCCAGAGCCTCATGTGCTTATAGGGGAGGCTGTGTTGAGGTGACTGGATTGTGGGGCTTACAGCTGACTTGCTAGGAGGCAGGGTCTGGTGGGAAGATGCAGTCACTGTGGAAACACCCTGGAAGGGTCTATCTTTCCTGGCTCTGCCCTTTGCTCTCCACGCTTCCTGTCTGCCTCTCCTCCACCATATCCCTTGCCATGGAGCCACTTGTCTATGGACTAAAACATATACAAACTATGGGCCAAAATAAACCTTTCTTCCTTAATTTATTGGTTTCAGACACTGAGACAAGGATATGGAAATTTTGTTTTTCTAAAGGAACAGAAAGTAAAATGAGTTAACTTTTGAAACCCATATCTCTTTGATTGCAACTGTTCAACTCCACCATTGTAGCATAAAAAGTTATGAACAATATATAAACAAATGGTATAGTGTATTTAAAAAAAACTTGTTGATGGACAGTAAAATCTGATTTGATACAATTTCTATATGTCATTAAATTTTTCTTTTGATTTTTCAACTACTTAAAATGTAAAAGTTACTTTTAGTGTGTTTTTAAAAATGTTTGTATTTTTAATTTTTATGTTATTTGATACAGGGTCTATAGCGTCTCACTGCACAGATCAGACTTGTAGTTATCCTCCTATTTTCAGCCTCCCAAGGGCTGGGATTACAGGCCTGCACCACCACGCCCGTCTTAGCAGTTTTAGCACACCCTGGCGGCGGGGCCAGCATGGCATGCCATGGAGGCCATTTAGTCCATGCTGAGCTATCTGGCTGGCCCCTAGTATGGTGTTTTTGTACAGAAATAAGCTATACACTGAATTTGGACAGGCCATGACATGCTTTGAATTAAATCAGTGACAGATAAGTGGATTTTGCTTCAAAGGTTTTCTCTGGAGAGCGGCTTGCTATACATACACCAAGGTTGCAGGTAGAAACATACAAATAATTCACAAGGGATATGAAGCACTCTCCAGCTTATAGAAAAATTGATAAGTAATTATTCATCTATAAAAATGCCTAAAAAAAGGCAGGATTTTGAGAAAGCTGAAATACTCCAGAGATTATTCTGTAATGGAATTTAACTATATGTAAATAAATTCATGTTAGAAACATGACTAAATCAGTTACAATATGTTCACTTCAATATAAATTTAGATATATAAAATCAGAGATTGACAATTCTAAAAGCTTTAAAGCACCTAGTTTGGGCTATGATATGAAGAAATACTGTTTGTAAGCAATTTTAAGTATGTAAATTTATTTTGTTTTGCTTTGTTTTTAAGACAGAGTCTTGCTACAGCCCAAGCTGTCCATGAACTTCAGCAATTCTCCTGCCTCTGCCTTCCCAGTGCTGAAATTACAAGCATGCACGACCACACTTGGCTTAAGTATATAAGTTGGTATAGCTTTTTGTAGGAAAATCAGGCAATATCCATTAAAACTGAAAATATTTTTCATGTCAGTTTTCTATAATTAAAAGATACAAACACAGAAGCATGAAGAAACTTCTATAAAAGGATATTCATTATAATTTATAATTACAAAGAAAAAAATATCCTGCAACCAATGCAAACTTTCCCCAGCAGGGAAAATGATATCATAGTACCCCTATTTAACATTGCTGTACTTCCACCTATTCATTAGAAGAAATGAAATAAATCTATATGTATTAACTGGAAAAAATAACTATGTTGAATAAAGAATGCTAAATAATGGACATGTAGTATATGCAGACATGTACATGTGTGTAACCACAGAAATGTTGCATGGTGTACACAGAAGACCAGTAGTGTGCTCTGATAAAATGGCTGCAAGAAATAGGAAACTGGAGATTTATTTCATTAATGTGTTACATCAATTATTCTATCTCATTTCTCTTTCAACAAGCAGACTACCACTGTTAAGACAAAAGGGGGGGGGGAGTCATTTATATAGGAATGTGATAGTAGACATGGCCAACAAAAGTACCACTCAGAAACTAATGAGAGGGAATTATTTAATGTTAAAAGAAACCAGGTGGGCGTGGTGGTATGCACCTGTAATGCCAGTACTATGGGAGGTTGAGACAGGAAGTTCAAGACTATCCTGGGCAAGTTTTGTGACTTTGCAAGATTCTAGATTCTGTCTCAAAAGATTTAAAAAAGGGTTGGGCATGTTCCTCAATACCATGAAATACATACACTTAACCTAAAAGCTCACCATATTAACCCTGATCTAGCTAACTGATCCAAAAGTCCTAAAGTTAGTTTCAAGTGAGGAAGACTAAGAAAAAAAATCTCTAATTACAAGCCAGCAAACTAAATGCTGTAACAGAAGTCAGCACCTCAGAGAAAGAAAGTCTAAATTATTTTAAGTAGGCAGACACATGCTGTGTTTTAAAGGACAAGTGGCAACTGTCCTCAGGTGTATCCTGAGGGCTTTAATGTTTTTGGTAAAATAAAAAAAAAGCACTTCCAAGCACATGAGACTAGAAGAGAGCACCAAGCATTAGGAGCCAAAATTATTCCAGACATATTCCCTTATATAAAAAAATATACTACTAGTGAATTACATGATTTTCATAGAGTACTGCATAATGTTCATTCAAATATTTAAGTGTCAAAGGCTATGGCAATATAAGAATAGATCTAATATTTAATTGCAACTTGTGGTAAAAGAGATGAAAGAAATTAGAAATTGTAGAAAAATAAAGAAAAGATCTACTTATACTCTCCCAAGGAGAAATCTCTGAAAAACTGTTTCCTATAATGAGACATAAGGATAACAAAGCACTAATGAAATAGAATGGGGGTAAAATGCTGGGAAGTAGTTTTACTAAAAAGAACAGCCCCCTAAATTCTTAAACAAGGAAAGACTGTATCTTTTATGAGAAACATAATTGATGTAGCACAGGATTAGTAAAATAGGAAACTTGAGACAAGAATTCAGAGCTTGGTAGATCACAGCATAAAATTAGGATTTCATTCAAAATATATGGACAGTTACTGAAGGCTGTTTCACACACAGGAATGTTATATTTGCAGATCTGATTTTTAAAAAAAAGTATTCTATTTGTAGACTAGAACTGAAAAGGACTCACAAAAGGTGTGCAATAATCTGTTCTGCAAGAATGTGTATCTAGAAAGGGTGGCTGTGGTGAAGAAGATGGACAATCATGAGATAATAATTTTGAGGTACAATCAATGAAATTTATGGAGAATGGAGAATTTGTGAAAACGGGAATTAGGAGAATCAAAAATGATACTCTAGGAAAGAAGTAAATCATACTTTTGTTGCAACCAGCACTGAGTGCTATATCAGGTGTCATGCTAGTAAATATATTTAATTAGAAAACTCCAAAATGTCAATTATTGTCTACCTCACCATTCTGCTACAAGTAGGAGATATTCTTAAAGTTTTAATCCATGACATTTAGCAACTATACATATTAAACATGACAGCTTAATATATTTAGAAGTATGACTTTCTAGAAAACAATGAACAAATATTTAGACTACATGCCACTCATTTTAAGTGCCAAGAATCCAATGCAACCTTTTGAAACACAAACCACCTACCCTTTGTGTACTATAGCATAATTATCTATATCTATAGCAGTATCAGAGAAAATTACTTTCATACAGACCTTTTGAAGACTCTTTCAAAGATTCAGAAAGTTTCACCAATGACTGTTGGTCAGCTGCCCATGAGTTGATAGTTTTCTTTTTCTCTATGTTCTGTGTGATTTTGGTAGCAGTCATATATTCAGCCATACAATTTTGATTAAGTTGAGAAAGAACCTGAGAATTTTTCAGCTTTGTAAATGTGTATTTTGAAGAGCTACCTGTTTTGTTAAGGTTACTTTGAGCTCCACTTGTTATGGTCGTATAGGACAGTCGCTGAGTATTTGATTTCTTACTAGTAACAGTTTCTGTGCTGGCATGATCCGAGTTCACATTACAAACTAAACTTCTTGAAAGAACTGATTTGGAGCTAGTCACATGTACTGGAACATCAGAATTACTCCAAGAGTCATGCACATTATTGATCTCACAATCTGAGTTCTTAGAATACATAGTCAAATTTGTTGTTGTACCCAAAATATGTGGAGAATTTCCAAACATTTCCTTTTTCTCCATCTTCACTGGTTTACCAGTTTGTGAATTATTGGTCAAGAAAGATGTCTGCACAGAAATGTTGCCCATATTCCAATGCTTTGGTTGCTCCAAGTGACTTCCTCCTTTGGATAACACAGGCATGCTTTCAGCTCCATGTCTGGACTTCCTTCTGCCATCAAGAGTACTCTTGCTCTCCTTTATGTCTTGCTGCTGGCTAAGTCTTTCAATATCATCACATGCTTGATATAACAAATCATCATCTACGTCATTTGTTTCCCAAGTAGTCTCTAATTTATGACATTCTTTAATAATTTCATTAGCAAATAATGGATCATTCCAATCATCAAAGAAAGAGTCTAACTTTGATGCATTTGTCCGATTTGAGTAACTAACACCAGTTTCATGGACTAAAGTTGTAGAACCAAAAGGATTAGTATTAACAGGTACGTTGAAAGAATGTTTAAAAATGGGTTTATTCTTTGGTTCACTACAGGATTTTGTGTTCAAACACTTTTTTTCAGAAGCATTTATATTGGAAGTAAAGTTCATGTGAATATTTTCTTTTATTTTTATCAGGTCAGATGCAATTGCATCATCCTGAGTTTTGTCTTGAATAACAGTTGCATTGAAAGATTTCTCAGATTTCATTTTGTTTCTAGTTAGTGATAATTTGTTTGTCTTCTTGTTTGGATTTGGTGAACATCTATATTTTGCAGCATTTATTTGTCCTTGGTCATGTGTGTTTGTAGGAAGATCTTGTATTTTTGAATCTCTTAACCTGGTATCTAGACTTACATTTGTTCTTGATATACTATCAACCTGGGCAGTTCCAGAAGGTACAAGTTCAAGCATTTCAGTATTTTGCACACCAAAAGGTTCATTTCCTAGTAAGCTTTCCCAATCTTCTTCAGAATCACTGGTGCTAACTGCAGCCATGTGTTTATGAGACCCTTCTTGCTCCTTAGTTTCGGGAGTCACATAGGGTTTTGTCACTGTGGGAGTTTCTACTTTAGAAGGTAGCATTGGTGCTGTCCACGGCAGTTTTCCAATGACCAGAGTTTCATTAGTAATGACACTCGCCTCTGTCACAACATTTTTTTCTCCCAAGGTAGTATTACTGTTGTACAAAAGAGTATCTGGCAGATCTTGGCTTAGCTGTCCACTACATTTCTGAGTAGAAGCATCAAACATTGCATTAAAGGCTGCTTCAGTATTTTGGTCAAATGGTTTCTGACTGCTAGTTTGATCATTTGTCCCAGATATCCAGCTGTTTCCTTCCATTGGCTTCTTTAAGGTAGCATTATCTATTTCGGGAACTAAATCACACGGAGAATGCATTTGTACACAATCTTTACAGTTATGTAAAGTCTCTGTGTCTGAAATTATCTGGATAAAATCATGATTTATCTTGTTTTGTTCTTGAATCACATCGAGTTCTTCCATATTTTTATCAAACTGTTTAGCCAATTTCATAAGTTCTTTTTCTCGATGTTGTGTTTTTAACCTATTAAGCAATATTTAAAAAGTTATAACTAAGAAATCACCTGATTGTACTATATTCAATACTATACTATATTTACAATACTCAACAATAAATATTGTATAAGTATATGAGTATACTAATCCTCTCATATGTTACAATATTTTGTACTTTAATATACTCTCATATGTTACAATTTTTTTTTTTAGTGCAAGGTCTATAGGGTCTCATTACACAGGTCCGACTTGTTGTGATTCTATTTTCAGCCTCCCAAGTGCTGGGATTACAGACACGCGCCACCACACGCATGAACCTGCGACCCCTGCGTCTGCCTAAGCAGGTGCTTTATTTCGCTGAGCTACCTGGCCGGCCCTTACATTTTAGCTTATAGAAGAATTTTACTCCAAAATTTTACAAGTCAAAACTGAGAAAATTTTATTTTGAAATATTTATAGAAACATTATTAAAATTAAACCTATTCACTGAATCTCAAAAAAGCTGAAAAAGTCTGAACTCACTTTGTGCAGCTGATTTTTATTTTTGATTTTTCCTTTACTACAACGGGAGTACAAGGAATAGCAGTTTCACCAATCCAGATGCCGAGCATAGAATTTGTTGTTGGTCTGTCATCCTTTGGAAAAAGGAAGAGGGGGGAAAGAATAAATTAGGTCATGAGTAGTAGTAAGAATAACTCGGGGAGAGAATAAAAATACATTAATCAGGATAAAATCTAGGAAAAAGACATTTTAGACTTTGAGTTAGTTAACTTTTCTCTCATTGCTGAGACAAAATACCTGACACCCAAGTTAAAGAAGGAAAGGTGTATTTTGCTCATAGTTTGGAGAGGTTTTGGTCTATACTCAGCTGGCTCCAAGAAAGAGCAGCACATGGCAGGGGGCATCAATTTACAATGGCAAAAAACAGCAAGAGGAAAAATGGAGGAGCTGCAGAGAGCAAGCCTCTTTCTCCATCCCCCCACCCCTGCCCCAGGATGGGTGTAGCATTCATACCCACAATTCCAGCATTGGATCTTGAATCGATCATTAACTCTATAAGCCTGCCCCATGACTGCATGAGTCTTTGGGGGGACATCTAGACACAAACAACAACTGACCTGCAAGCTTTTACTATGTTTTTCAGTTACTTGATCCCCTCAAATTCTAGAGAATGAGCTTTATACATTAACTATAAACCAAAGCAAAATGATTAACCAGTTTTTACTTGATTTTTACAACTAGAATTCATGTAAATAACTGTCAAATGAAATTTTAAAAAAATCTTATGGTGCCAAGGTTATAGTTTAGTGGTAGTATTTGTTCAGCATGCGCAAATCCCTAGTTTTGACCCTAAGACAGCCAAGAAAACCCCACTAAAACCAAAAGCAAAACCAGCCATATTACCAAATTACATGGAACCAAAAGGAAGACTCTTTGAATGATACCCTGGTATCATATACAATAATAGACATAAAGAAAATGCCACTTTACACTAATATGCAAGGAAATTTAAAGCATTCCTACTTGTACTCTAAAATCTTTAGTAAAATGAGAGCAGTTTTCTTAACATCTACTTAAACTTAGTTGACTTGAGCTTTGCAAAACATTCCAGAAAATCATTTTAACATCTGCAGTATTTTCTTCCTGTTTCAACAATATTTAAGGAATATTCTTCATGATTTCATTTTAAACTCTAACTACTTACATAGTGATTGTCAAGTCATAGAATTTTCAAAGGCGTAATATTCAGGAATCCAAAATATGAATTTTATTAATAATTACATAACTAATTTTAATCCAGGTGCTACGTAAGGTGGTAAATTACTTCATTTTGTTTTAAACAGTGTACTGTAAATTTATACTAAATGAGGATAAGTTATCTATGTTTAGAGAAGTAACACTGAACAATGCAGAAAGTACAATGGTCAATTAAAATGACTGTTTAAAAAAATGTCACCTTTGAGAACATTACAAAGAAATTAAGTAATGATTTGACGATAACTGATCTGAAAATAAATAAATAAAAATATTTTCAGTCTGAGAACAAGACAAGCTTCTAAAGAGATCTTGAGTCCATGAAAAGATTTATATGCTTTAAAAGTGCTCAGCTGAAGAGGGTAACATTTATAAGCACCTAATTTCACTGTATTTTTTTTTTTTTTGTCTTACACAAGTTACCACTTGCATTTCTTCATATAAGCTATTATTTCCATCCCATTTAGGTAAAGGATCCAATAATTTACTCAACTATCTTTTTATCACCATTTAGGCTGGCCAGCCCAAACACATTTTATTATGCTTCTTTCATGTGAAACCCACAATTAATGAAGACTTATTAACTTACAGAGTAAGTAAAATTGTAGCACACATGCTATTTACCTAATGAACCATACATACATAAATGAGTTTCTATGACACGCCAAACATGGAATGTCTAACTAGTAGCAACAGAGTTGTTCTGATTACACTAGTTGTAATTCTGGATATTTTACAGCTAAGAAAAGTTTTATATCCTGTCTCTTCCATACAGATGATGGTGATTCCTCATAACCACATATTGGGCAAATGCCACCCATTGTTTGTGGTCAACTTACAGTAACTATACAAGGGCATGTTAAGGAAAAATACCATCATCCTTCAGAGAAAAGAACTAAGCAAACACTACATGTTCTCTAGATTTAAATGTTGTTAAATAAGAAGTGCAAAAAAAAGAAAAGAAGCTGAAGATGGTTTCATGTACTGGGTTTAGTTAGGAATAGTGTAGTGACAGGGTTAATAAAATAAATGCTATTGTATTACTGGATTTCTTTGTGTCAAATGATTGACTTCAACTTGTATTTGTTTTAAACCGACAGAACAACAGAATAACTGACAGCACAAAAAAAGGATTTTTTTTTTTTTTTTTTTGAGACAGAGTTATGCAGTTCAGGCTGGCCTTGAGCTCACTTTGTAGTTCAGGATGGTCTTGAATTTGCATTGATGCTTCTGGGATTACCAGTGTGCAACCCTATGCCGCAAGAAAAACTTTTTTCCCTAAATTTGTGTATTTGGTATAGAGTCTCATTATGCAGCTCGGACTCGAAGTGATCTTCCTGTTTTCAGTCTCCCCAGACCTGGAGTTATAGGCATGCACCACAACGGCTGGACTTGGCCACTGAATCAGCGCACCCAGGGGCACTGAGGCACATAGTACCGGGTATTGAACCCTGGTACCTGCACTTGCCTAAGCAGGCACTTAGTCGGCTGAGCTATCTTGTCAGCCTGAAAACTTTTGAAGATGATTCTATTACAAGAAATTTTTTAAAACCTTCATATTTAACCTTAAATTTAAAGTGTTCTGCTTTATAATTTTTATCTAATTTAATCCTTATAAGACAAATAATAATTCTAGTTGGTTATTATTTGTGGCTGAATGAACTGAGGTTGTAGAGTTTAAGTGACTTGCATGAGGTCACCCAGCAAGTAGAGGCTGAATGAAGAATAAATCTAACTCCAGTTTTAAAATGGTAAGATGATGCTAGGTCAATAAATACAATGTACAGTTTCAAATTGCATACTAGACAGCAAACAAACACGAAACAGAATCATTACAAAAATTTCAATTTGTATCAGCTTACTCTATTATTTTACTAACTTGAAAACTTAGGCCATGTTGTTAAATTAAAGTCAAAATAAGAACATCAAGTTCTTGAGAAAAAAATCACAGCTCTAAAATATATTCTTAGGAAACTATAAACAGATGCCTCTTGGTACCTGCAGGTTCAACATCCATGGAGTCAAACAAATGGAGACCAAAAATATTCAGAAAAAGTCTGCACAGAACACATAGCGACACTTTTCCTTGTCATTATTCCCTAAATAATACAATGTAACAATTCCATACATTGTATAGATAGAAATAATCTAGGTAAGATTTAATGTACATGTGAGGTGCTGGGAGCGTGGCTCAGTGGCAGAGCACTTGCCTAAAGTGTGTGAACTAGAATCTGATTTCCAGCAATGCAAAAACAGAGAACTAAAGTATATGCGAGGATATGAATCAATTACTTGCTAACATTACACCCTTCTACATGAAGGAATTGAATACTGCAGATTTTGTTATCTGTGGGAGTCAGAACCAATCCTCTGTGGATCCCAAAGGACCACTGAACAGATTTCCTGCCTCATCCGTGTTTCTTTAAATAAAACATGCACTTCATAACAGGAAAGGTAGAACCTGCTTAGGTAGAACACAGCAGCCGGGTTCACTCCCTGGCCCGCTGTGCTGGCCCCAGCAGGGTGCACTGAGACTTTGACTGAGACTGGAAAGAGACTGGGTGTGGTGGCATGTAGTTGGGAGGCTGAAAAACAGGAGAATCACTAGGAGTACGATCTGTGTTGTAATACCCTGTAGATCCAGCAGTCCCTGTACAAAAAAAAAAAAAAAAAGGAAAAGTAAAGGTAATTTTTTCAGCCCTATTTTTGGAAAAGAGATTTATAAAAGAGTATTATTTTTATAAACGAATGATACAAGGACTTAGGGTGAATTTTTCATTGCTTTAAAATGAAATAAGGGTCTGCGAGGTAACTCAGGAGACTAATCACCTGCTTAGGCAAGTGAAGGGACTGGGGCTCCATTCCCTGTAGTACATATGCAGCCTGCCCTATCCCTGCCCTGCCACTGAGATGGGGCGTGGTGGCACACACCTTTAATCCCACCACTGGAGGAGGCTGAAAACAGGAAGGTCACTGAGTCTCAGCTGAGTAGTGGGACCCTGAACCAAATATATTAAAAACAAAAACAAAGAAACTATAAAACTAGATATTTACCTGAGGAGCAATGCGATTAACAATATGTGAAATCACATCACTATCTGTGGTGTAAATCTGTTTTTTTCTTCCTTTACCTAAAGAAACAAAAGACATTTCTATAAACAAAAAACAAGCAGTTGCTGGTATTTTTAGAAAATTCTTCTTGCTGCTTAGATGACTGTACCCTGACATTACACACAGATAATGTATAAATTCACAAGATTCTCAACAGTACCCATACTATATACAAGTTCTTGGTGTTACTTGAAATTTTATTTAAATCTTAACCATTTCTCAGATATTCATATAAAAGTATTATGAAATTACCTAACTGTTTTGTCATTGGAGAATTTTGATCCCAAAAGATGTCATTCTGTCCATCAGGATCATTTGGGGAACCAAAGGTACATGATAATAAATCCATTTTCAGCATTCTCGTTGGTGTTTCATACTTTTCTATATAAAATATAATTAAAAAGCAACCGTTTTATTTTAAAGCATAACTAGATTTCATAGCAACCCCAAATCACATAGCTTAGACTAGATTACAGTATAAAATTATTGTAAAGAGCATTACATCACAACGCAACTAAACTTGTTTTACATAAAAATCTAACGTTATCACTCCACAAATTTGACATTGGAGCAAGTGTTTTTAGAAAATTTGGTAGCTCTATGAGTTTCTAATAGCTCAGTAGGTCCATACATCATCGCTGACAGATTTTGGGGAACTACCTGCAATTTACAGGCGCATTTAAAAGAAATGAAATGCATCCTAAAAAAAAAGTCCTTTTCATTTCCCCCTCGTTAACTCCATCTACTCTACGTTAACATCTGCCATCTATTTCCTAGGAAATTTTATCTAAAATTATTTAAATTTTTACAATTTGTGTTTTTCCTGTAAAGTGTCTCTAGGAGTTTTGCTTTTAATACTATATTAAGTCTTTTTAAAGGAAACACCAAAAACCAACTCTGTTCTTAAGAGACGTCACACGTAGCAACTTCCGGTTTCCTTAGCGGGACACCGCGAAGGCTCCGAGGGGTCCAGCAGTAGCTGTACATGTGCCCCGTTCTCGCAGTCAGACTAGGGCAAAACAGCTGAGGGATGATTTCCGGGGGCGCACGCCGAGGGACTCGGGCCCAGGCTGCTGCGCCTCCTCGCCGCCCGCGGGGGTAGCACGGAACGTAGGGGCGCACGGCACAGGTAAAGCGGATCCTAGCCGGGCGGTGACGCCTAACCTGGCGGCGCCAGTCCGCAAGGAAGCCGCCGAGGGCCGCAGTGTTGTCACGGACTCGCAGGGGGCGCGGCCCAGCGGGAAAGCGCCGTGGGGAAGCCCACCCCAGCCCCACTTCCAGCCAAAGCCCTGGCTGCAGGCTGCAGCGCCCAAGTCAGGAACACCTCGCCGTCCGCGTCTCACCCTCGGGGTGACTCTTGCTGCCCGAAGCGGCCGCCGGAGACCACTCTGCAGGCCCGCGCGGCTCCGAGCGGCGGGCCGACCTCAGCCGCCGCCTCCCCGGCTCGACCCTCGAGGAGCTGCTTTCCTCAGCCGCCGCCGATTTGCTCGGCGTGCTCTTCGGGCTGGGGGTGCCCGCGTATTTTCTCCGCCGACTCATTCCTAGGAACCCCCCCTCAACCCGCGGCTTCGTTCATTTTGCAACGGGAACGAAGCAACAATTCTACAAATCAGACTGCGCGCCAACAGCCGCTGCCATTTTGGCTGGTGGCGCGCGCGCAAGAGGCTGCCACCGATTGGCTGCGTCTGGACGAGGGGGCGGAGCCGACGGGGTGCAGACACATGCGCGTGCGCAGCCGGGACCTCTGCGCGCAGTGGAAGATGTTTTAGCTTCAGACTTTATGAATGGAGGTCAGGACCTGATAGTTTATAGTTTGGTGTTACAGTGTTAATACAAGATTGAATCCACTAGCAACTCTTTATTAAATTTACAATCAAAAGTACACGTTCCTCAAATACAAACTATTGTGGGTTTTAGGAAGTGAAATAGGTATGGATTAGGAAATCCAAATTTTCACAAGGATTTGTGTGTGGAAAATACAAAAAAGTAGGAAAATTATTAAATTTAAATGAATTATTTAAATAAATTAAAGTAGGAAGTAACAGCTGCTGGATACAAAGTCAATATTAAAAGTTCAATTATGTTTCAGTAATCAGTAACAAAACTGAAGTTTTCTGGTCAGGCATGGTGGTGAACGCCTGTAATCCCAGCAATCCAGAGACCAAGGAAGTAGGATCGCTCTAAATTCAAGGGCAACTTGAACTACAACCCTATTCCAAAAAACAAAGTAGTCAAAACTTGAAGTTTACAAAATAGGACATAGTAGCATGTGAGATAATAAAAAAACTAGATACAAATGTAACTAAAGATTGTTGCCTCTATAGCTAGAATTATAACATTTTTAGAGTTCATATATTTCACAGTTCATACTATATTCATCCATTGGGAAACTTACTAAAGTTACAAAATTGATTTATAGATTACATTCAAATATAGTCAGAATCTTAGCCATATGCATGCGTGCCTGTATGCGTGTGTGTGTGTGTGTGTGTGTGTGTGTGTGTACAATGTTGTTGTAAAAAGCTGAGTTAGACAGAAATATTATAGGTAGTCAGATATGGTTAGACTCACAGAGGAGCCAGAACGGAAGGTGCCTTGCAGCTGTGGGAGAGACAGGCACTCCGGCTGTGGACCAGACTTTAAGACAAAAGATTAAACAAATGCAGCCACAGACCTCCCTAGGGATGGGCATCAGGCACTGACATTACCTTGAAAAACCCAAGGAGAGTCACTAACACTTACAGGAAAGTCCCCTGTTTTGTGTTCATGCCTGTTTGCTATGTGACTCCCATTTGATTCTGATGTAATCAATTTTACCTGAGCAAGTATGCTTGTCATCTTATTGGTTGACCATAGTTTTGTCCCTCTACATGCCTGCCCTGGCCCCACCTCATCTCTTTTTTTCTTTTCTTTCTTTTTGGCGGAACCAGGGATTGAACTCAGGCGCTTGCGCTCGCCAGGGAAGCACTTATTCCACTGAGCCATCTCCCCCCCATCTCATTGATCTGCTTTATAAAAATCCTTAGAAAAGGCAGGTTCCTTGGCAACCCACTCAGGTCTTCTTGTACAGAAACTTACTTTCCCTCAATAACTGTATTGTGCTCTTAACCTGTTGTTCCTAAAATTCATTCTTTGGCTTTAGAAAACATGAATTTATCCCAGGTATCTTTCAGGCTGGGAGTTTCTTTCCCTTATATTAATGTGACACGTTTATTCTGAAATTTAGGGATGAGGAGATAACTAGAGACCTAAATGCGTGCCTGGCAAATGCAAGGACCCAGGTTCAGTTCCTAGTACCATATGCCATGCAATCCCAGCATTGGGAAGGCTGAGACAGGGTGATCATTATGAGTCTGAGCTGTGTAGAGCTCTAGAAATAAGCTTAACTTTTTTTTGTTTTTTGAACTGGGGATTGAACTCAGGCCCTTGCCCTTGCCAGGGAAGTGCTTATCTCACTGAGCCATCTTTCCGGCCCCTTTTTAAATTTTTTTTTTTTAAGCTTGACTCTTAGGAATATATCTAGACAGGGAATATCTGGGTCAGATAGCATTTCAGCTTACTGCAGATTTTCTATACTGATTTCTATGGTTGTACTACTTTACATTCCATCAACAATGTAGAAAGGTCTTTCCTGCAACTTTGCCAGCTTTTTTTATTTGATTTCTTGATGATGATCATTACTTTATATTTCAGTAATAGCCAGAAACATTGAGCATTTCTTCATGTATTTATTGGTCATTTGTACTTTTACTGTGAAATATGTTTCACTTTCCCAATTTTTAGGGGGAGGTTGAATTTTTTATTAGAGGTGCATCTCATTTTCTCAGTCCATGATATACCATTAATATTGGCCCTTTGTCTGAGGTAGCTGGCAAAAAATGTTTTCCTATTTGTAGGTTGCCTTTTCACTCTGTTATTTGTTTCTTTTGCTATGCAAAAGAAATACAAAATGTATTTAGTATAGGGTCTACAGGGTCTCACTATGTAGATCAGACTCATAGTGATCTTCTTGTTTTCAGCCTCCCAAGCGCTGGGATTACAGGCGCACACCACCACACCCAATCTCAGTCACCTCTCAGCATGCCCCAGGGGCAGGGCTGGCATAGCATGCTGCCAGGGGATTGAACCTGTGGTTGCACTCTGCCTCAGCAGGTGTTTTAGTCTTCTGAGCTATCTGGCCAGCCAACAGCCTTACAATTTCATATGATCCCATTTGTTTATTATTGGTACTATTGCCTTTGCATTTTGGGTTCAGTTCAAAAAGTCCTGCTTCATTAAGAACCTCTGTTGCTTCAGTTGGCCTAGTAAAAATAATTGGAGTAGAAAAAGGGCACTTATCTCTAAGATCCAATCTGTAGCCAAGAGTGGTGATACACACATACAATCACAGCACCCCAGGCCAGCCAGGGCTGCAAAGTGAGTTATGGCCAGCCTAAACTGCATAGGCAAACCCTGTCTCATAAGAAAAAAAAAAAAAAAATACGATCTGTAGGATCACTGTCCTTTTCTGTCACAAATGTTACTTTGAGACAGTCATCTTTTCTCTGATTGATTTGATTGAAAATATTTTTTAATTTCTTCTTTAATTTCATCTGTGACCCATTGGCTGTTTAGGAGGTTGTTATTTAATTTCCATGTTTTTATGGTGTTTCTGTTGTTTCTTTCGTCAATAATTTCCACTTTCATTGCACTGTGGTCAGGTAGTAGGCATGGGATAATTTCAATTCTTTTGTGTTCACTGAAGGATGCTCTGTATGTTAGCACATGGTCTATTTTGGAGAACATCCCGTTTGCAGCTAAGAAAAATGCATATTGTGTTGTTGACTGGGTGAAACACTGTCAATGTCTATTAAGTCCATTTCTTCACAAGTTTGGTTTAGTTTTGTTTGTTGGTTTTTTTTTGTTTTGTTTTTTTTTTTTTGCCTAGTTGATCTATCTCTTTGCGACAGTGGCATGTTAAAGTCCCCCATTACTATTGTATTATTGCTTATTTGATTTTTCTTGTCTGTTAAAATTTGTCTCATGTAGGTGGGTGCTTCTACATTGGCTGTATATATATTCTAATTGATATCTCTTCCTCTTGCAGTTTTCCCTTAACAAGTATGTAGTGACCTTCTTTATCTCTTTGAATGATCTTTGGTTTGAAGTTAATATTGTCAGCAACCAGGATAGCTACCCCTGCTTTTTTCTGGTTTCCTATGCCATGGAGAATTGTTTTCTATCCTTTGACTTTTAGTCTGTGGATTTCCTTTTTGAGTTAAATGTGTTTCATTTATGCAGTTTATTATTGGATTTTGTTTCTTCATCCACTCTGCTAGTTTGTTTCTTTTGATTTGTAAATTGAAGCCATTTACATTGATGGTTATAACTGATACGTATTGGGTTATCTTTCTCTCAATGTCTTCTTTTTTCCTTCTTCTTCTGTATTTAGGGAAGTGTCAACAGGATGTTCAGGGTTGCACTATTAGATTGGACTTGTAGTGATCTGCCTGTTTACAGTCTTCTAAGAGCTGGGATTACAGGCGCACACCACAGCGCCCAGTCTCAATTGCCATCTCAGTGTGTCCCAGGGATGGAGCCGGCACCGCAGGCCTGGGGATCAAACCCGTGGCCCCTGTGCCTGCTTGCAAGTGCTTTAATCCGCTGAGCTATTAGGGTGGCCCAGCTTATTTTTTTCATGTTATTTTCCTGCTATTGATCCCATATTTTTTCCTCTTTTTAATTATTCACTGTGTTTGGTGGTTCCTTCCTGTTTTTCTTGAAGCTATGGTTGTTTCTGTCTCTTTCTAGAATATCTGTCAGTATTCTTTATAAGGTATATTTGGTGGTTATGAATTTTTTTAGTTCTTTGTCATGGAAGTATCTTATCTCGCCATTGAATTTGATAATTTCGCAAGGTATATCAATCTGGGTAGGAAGTCATTTTCTTTCAGGACCTGAAATAATTTATGGTCCTGATTTGATGGTTTGTGTTGAGAAATCGCCCATGATTCTGATGTGCTATCGTAGGTGATCTGTTTCTTCTCTCTAGAAGCTTTTAATATCTTATTCTTTTGCTGAATTTCTGAGATCTTGATTATTATGTGACTACGTGTGGAGTTATTTTGGTTATGGCCGTGTGGCATTCTGTATGCCATGCTTATCTGTATCTCAGGTTCTTCTCTCATGTTTGGAAAATTTTCTGCTAGTACTTCTGCAGATAGTCTTTATGTCATTTGTGCTGTTTCTTTAACACCTATTATTCTTATATTATTCTTCTTTACATTGTCTTATAGTTGTTGAAATGTTATTTCCTGGTTCCTTGTTAGTTTTAAGAGATCTTTCCTTTCCTGTTCATTAGCTGCTCTGCTATCTTTGAGGTCTGAAAGTCTATTTTCAGTTTTCTTCCCAGCAGCTTTGCCAACTTTCACTGGAATTCTTAATTTCCTGGTTAAATTTTAAATCTGTTTCATGCATTTTATTTCTTTCCTATATTGTTCATTCTGTGTTTCCATCATTTTTCTATCCTCCTCTATTTTTCTTAATGTATGTCTTTTTTAGTTGTGCTGAACAATTCTTTGATGATTTTTGTCATTTCTCTTTTGACCTGAGAGATTATTTCTGCTCTTATTTCTTCTATTGCCTGATGGACTTGTTTCTTTA